CTATTTTCCCTAGTCAATCAATGGAGGTTATCATTACTCATCATTATTGAACCCATAGTTTCTGATAGTAAGATTGAGCATTATAAACACTTTTTTGGCTTTGACAAGGCAACTAATTCTATTTTAAATAAAATATGGATTTTCTGGGAATCTTCATTTCTGGATATCAGTGATTTTATCTGGCATGAACAATTTGTTCATTTCAAAGTTCATAGTGCAGTTTACAAGGGATGGATTACTGGAGTTTATGGGAGGCACAGTTATATTACTAGAAGGGATCTTTGGAATAATCTTATTAGCCTTAGTGCTAATCTTCAAGAGCCCTGGATGGTAGGGGGAGATTTTAACACTATTGCTAGTTATGGGGAGCATAAAGGGAACTCTTTACCATTTGTCCAGGATGTCAATGATTTTGCAAATTGTATTGCTGCCTGTAGTCTGATTGACATTCCTTACTCTGGACCTAAATACTCTTGGACAGGTAACAGAGCTAATGGTAGAGTCTGGAGAAGGTTAGATAGGGTCTTGTTTAACAATCCTTTTCTGCATCATTATGATCATATCCAAGTTTCACTATTAAACAAGACTCCTTCTGATCATAACCCTATTTTGATTCAATGTGCTAATATTGGAGGGTCTGGTCCTAAGAGCTTTAAGTTCCAAAACATGTGGCTGAGCAACAACACTTTTATGGAGCTTGTAAGGGCAAAATGGAATTCTGTTGGTCACCAGGGAGGTATGAGAGGGCTTATTTCCAAACTACAGAATTTGAAGAAGGAATTAAGAATTTGGAATAAGGAATCTTTTGGCAACATCTTTGAGGAGGTGAGGAAATGTGAAGATGAGGTTCTAAAAGCTGAAATGGATTTTGAGGAGAATCCTAATGACTCAACCAGGGAAGACTGGTTTTATAAAAAAGGTTTATTGACCCACAAATATAATTTGGAGAAAAAATTTTGGAAGCAAAAAGCCCACATTCGTTGGATTAAAGATGGGGATAGCAATACAAAATTTTTTCATTCATTTGTACAAGTTAGAAGGAGAATGCAAAGTATAACCTCTATTAAAAACCAGGCTGGGCAAGAACTCAATTCTCCTAATCTTATTGGGGATGCTGCAGTGGAATTTTTTTCTCAACTCTATACTGCTCCTTCTGTAGTAGATGTTACTGCAAGCAACAGAATTCTGCAAGTTATTCCCAAATTGATAACTGATGAAGATAATAACATGTTAATTCATATGCCTGACATGGAGGAAGTCAAACAGGCAGTTTGGGAATTAGATCAAAACAGTGCTTCCGGTCCAGATGGATTTCATGGAAAATTTTTTAAGAAATGTTGGCATATTGTTGGAGGGGATGTTGTTAGGGCTGTTCAAGATTTCTATTTAGGAACTCCCATTCCTAAAGGGCTGGCTAGTGCCCTGATTATTCTAATTCCTAAAAATGAGAGACCTTCCACTTTCAGTGATTTCAGGCCTATTTGTTTGGCTAACTTTATATGCAAAGTATGCACCAAGGTCATGGCATCCAGATTAAAAAGGATATTACCTAAAATCATTTCTAAAGAACAAGCAGGTTTCATGGCAGGCAGAGATTCAGCAGATCAGGTTCTGATAGCTCAAGAACTTGTTCATTATATTGATAAGAAGGTCAGGGGTAATAATCTTTTGATAAAACTGGACATGGCAAAAGCCTTTGATAGGGTTTCATGGCAATTTCTCTCAGCTATTTTACTAAAGTTTGGCTTCTCTGATCTTTTTGTCCAGTTAATTATGAATCATCTAAAAGCTTCCTATTTCTCTATTTTGATTAATGGATCCCCTCAGGGTTTCTTCAAGCCTTCTAGAGGAGTTAAACAAGGTGACCCTTTATCCCCATTTCTTTTTATTATTGCTTCAGAGGCTTTTTCAAGAGGGCTTAACAGGCTGATGGAGGAAGGGAAAATTAAACCTTACTGGACTGGAAGTCAGGAGATATCTATTTCTCACCTTGGATTTGCTGATGATCTTTTGATCTTTTTGAATGGAGATGCCAGATCATTGCTCAACTTCAAAAATTTTCTTCAACTCTATCAGGATGCTTCAGGGCAGATGATTAATATTTCTAAATGTTCTTTTGTCTGTGGTAAGGCTGCTCCTGCTAGACACTCTAGGATCAAGAACCTTCTGGGCATGAAAAAGGTTTCCCTTCCTATCAGATATTTGGGTGTTAATCTACACAAAGGCATCAATAGATTTGATTACTGTGGAAATTTAATTAAACAGTTTGAGAACAAGCTTTCTCCTTGGAAACAGAAAATTCTTTCTCAAGGAGGGAGGCTGGTTCTTATCAAATACGTTTTGAATTCCATTCCCATGCATATTTTAGCATCTGATACTTTACCCAAAAAAGTTATTAAGGTTCTCAACAGCAAAATGGCATCATTTTTTTGGGGGTCCTCCAATGTAAAGAGAAAGTATCATTGGATTAAATGGGAGAAGCTTTGTTTACCACCAATTGAAGGGGGTTTAGGCATTAGATCTTTGACCGATATTGAAAAAGCCTTTACCCTAAAATTGTGGTGGAAATGGAAAACTAGTGATACTTTATGGACTCAGCTTATGAAAGCAAGATATGATAGGGAAGGCAGCATGATACCTAGATTAACAGATTCTGCAGTTTGGAAGAGAATTTGCTCTGCTCAGGCTCAAGCTTCAGAACTTTGCTCCATAGACTCTGCTGGTAATCTTACCTGGAATGAAGAGGAAGATGGACAATTCAGTTTTAAAACAGCTTATGAAGAAGTACGTGAACTTTCTTTCAGTTCATATGTTAATCAACAGATTTGGGATACAGACCAGGAGTTAAAAATCAAACTTTTGCAGTGGAAAATTAGTAAAGGTATTCTTCCCACTTCGGATAGATTAAGAAGGTTTAATCTTGTTCTTAATCCCTCAATCTGCCCTTTATGTAGAAAGGATTATGACACCTTGAATCATATATTCTTTCAATGCTCAGTCAGTAGAAGTGTTTGGCACTATTTCTTGAACATCTTAAATATTTTTCAAGGTGCTGGGATTGATTATGGGAATTTCCTTAATTGGAAACTAAGAAATATTGACAATAGCCTGGTGGATTTGTTTAGGAAAAATATTTCGGGTATCATCTGCTGGTTTTTATGGAAAACTTACACGGGTTTGATTTGGGGCTCGAGTGGAAGCACCCCCAAGTCAGAATCAATTATAATCCAAATCAAACTCTACACTCAAGTTTGGATTTCAAGCATATCTACCAAGAAAATCAGAACGATTGGTACGATTCTATATGAAGAAGGATTTATTCCTAGGAATTTCAAGCTTGCAGGTTTTAAACCTCAAATTATCAGATGGAACAGACCAAATAAAACCTGGAAGCTTAACGTTGATGCAAGCTACTTATCTGGTATCTCCTTTGGTGGTGCTATCTTGAGAGATAGGTTCGGAACTTTTGTCTCTGCTATTAGCTTTCCCATTCAGGCTCGATCCCCCCTCGATGCTGAGTTGCGAGCTGTCTTCTTCGCTCTGAAGTGGGCGATTGCTGCTGGTTTTGAAGACTTCCAGGTTGAATCCGACTCTCAAATGGCGCTGCAATACCTTGACGGAAAGGAGAGTAGAAGATGGGCGATTGAGATTCAGGAAACTATACAGATGCGAATTAGGCAACGGGTTTCATTTGGACATACAAGACGGGAAGGGAATTGGGTCGCTCACTTTCTGGCCCAAGAAGCGAATAACTGTTCGGTTAATTATATCAGCCTGGATCAGCTTCCGGTTTTAGCTAAACGATCTTATTGGATGGACTTTTTTGGCATTCCTTCTATTAGAGAATAATTTACTTCCCTTTTGTTTTACTTCGGGTTTGGTTTGGTCCCCCCGATTTTTTGTACCACTTTTACTTCTTAATAAAATTCTGGTAAATGTCCCCCGGCATTTACCCCACTGATTTTGGTGGTTGACCTTCCGGGGTAAAAAAAAAAAAAAAATATATATATATATATATATATATATATATATATATATATATATATGTATTTGTATATATGATAGGTACGATTAACATATAAATAGTACGGAGTATTAAGATTTAATTAAGATATATATATATACACAAATATACTTTACATGTGGATATCTCCCAGTACATATAAGTGATCCTAGCAAAAATAGTGACGTAAATATGTATATTATCTTAGATTTATACTAATTCGTATGTATAATGTATATAAGTGGTGATCCTATAATCAGTTAAATGTGTAGCCTAAAATCTGTATAATAACTAATTCATGTATAAAAGTTGTGGTTCATGGGAATCATTAGGAGTAACAACAACCGACTTAGCTAAATATATGTATAGATAACATACGTGTGCAGTGAATAATACGTGTAATGGTTATATATACTCACATGAAATAACTAATTTAGATAAGTTTACTCGTAGGTACTATACATATAAAAATTTGATTCGACAGTTATGGTGTAAAAGTGGCATGTACAGTTATGGTCTAACAATTAAGCATATATAATCCCAACTATTGCCGGTCCGCTGATAATAATTCCAACTATTGATTATTTTTGTATAATCCCAACTATATGGACCGTCCGCCAATAATGGTCCATGACCAGATATTACATCCTAAAAAAGTGAATTTTAAATAGAAATTAAGTGTAAAAATTAAAAGTTGAGATTATTTATAGGGATTACTTGCTATATCTCTCTTCATCTACTTCAGAAACTACAATAATTTATTTATAGGGGCCATTATTGGCGGAAGGTCCCTAAAGTTGGGATTATTCCGAAATAATCGATAGTTGGGATTATTATAAGCGGACCGCCAATAGTTGGGATTATTACTATCAATTTTTCATAGTTTTTTTTAAGTATTATTACTTACGTTAGTGAGAAAGTAAATTATGAAATAATAGGTAATAGAGATCTAAAGTAATGATTACATTGATATATTTTATTAAATCATACGGGATATCCTATACCTAAAAGCACTACATTGGAGAGAGAGAAATTTCTCTCGCCTAAGCTCTGGCCGCTCACCACTTCTCCTATCCAGCATTCCAGCCCACCTCCTAACTTATGCCTTCTCCTCTCTTGTTCTTCACCCGAATTTGCATACGATTTCCGTGGATCGCTTTACCGCACCCTTACCCATACTATTTCGAAACCCTCCCCACCTTCTCTTCGACGTTTTAAGCATTTCATTGAAGAGCTCCAGTAGTTCTTCTGATTTTCTGAGCCGCATGGAAGATGAAGTCACCCATCCACTTGAATTCATCGAGTATCACCTTCAAGTAGCTATTTTTGTATGATTCTATTGACTTAAGTAACCCTATTCTTCCATTCCAGTACAGAAAATCAATTTTGCTGTAAAAGAGCTATATAGCCGCTCGATTTGACGCTTCTTCTTCCAGCAATTGAAGAACATATTTGTGTTGGGTCAAATGTCAGTCTCTTCTTCTTCCAGCAATCGAAGAACAAAGGTTTTCCATTCAAATTGATATTATTATATACTATCGTATTATACTCCATATTAGGAATTATGATTTTTTCTATGATCTAACTTTCTTCTTCGGGCGAACGGGGGGCATATTTGCTGTCAAACATAACTATGGCCCTAACCATCTTTTGTTGTGGAGAGGTGATGGACGAGAACTTGCAATATAATGCTATGGCTTGATAACCCACAATCCTAATATAATTTCTATTTCTACAGACAGTTTTGATGATAATCTTGCATTCTTAATTTAAGATTTCTTAAGAAGCCCCAACCTAATTTTTTTCATAATCGTAGGTTTTTTCACAATCCTAATTAGGTATAGGATTTTTCCTATAGTTTTCAATACTTTTCTAACTTTGTTCTTAAATTTTATACTTAGATTTCAATTTAATCTTATTATATTAATGGAATGCAGAACATTAGGTTGTTAAATATGACCAATTGTGCAACAAGTAGTTCATGTTCCCCATCCTGTGACTTTGAGTGTTTGATTGCACTTGACCTAGGTGTGTTTTGTTCATGTTACTATGTTAGGATTCCATGGCTACCTTGCTGGGAGTATTTCCTTGTGCTTCACACATGTGTGCAATATTGTTGATAAAAGTGTCCTTCTCTACCACGAAATACTTTTATTTTTATTTTTAGTTCTTATGAAAGTGTTATTCTTTCCATTGTATCGTGCAGGTAGTTCTACTGACTGTTCAAGTACTAGGATTAAACTCTGAATTTGTAATTATCAGAGTTTCAGACCATATCTCTTGACAGCTTAATTTCATTAGTGTGGCTAAATCTTTAAAGCAAGTTTAGTTTGGTAAGCAAATTTAGTTCAGCAAGTATCGTTTTCACCAAATCAATACTAAGGGTCACTCTAAGCAGCCTGCAAGTGAACTAAAAGGGATGACTGTATCACTGATGTTATAACCAAAAGAATATAATAATAGCAAATAAACATGAAGTGAACTAAAAAACTAGGCAAAGAGGAAAATTCAGATTCTATATGGTCATCTATTTTTAGTGTTTGCAGGGTTGTTTGGTTCGGTTATAATTGTTCAGTATCTTAAATTTCCGTATGGAACCTTTTCAGGAAGTCTCTTTTCTCCTGACAAGTTTGGATGGTGGCATTCAATGATAAGGAATCAAATCCACCAAATTGGTGATCTTAGTTTCACTTCAGAGATGGAAACCAAATATTTCAAGAATGAGTTCACATTAGGAAATGGATCTGACATTTTAAAATCCAAAATCAAACCAAATGAGATGAAGAACCTGTTCATCTCGGGATCCTATCATGCAAGGAGATAGTGCCATTGCACATAAAGTTGATGGACCTACTGTAATTGGAATGAATAAAAGAAAGATTGAAGATACATTTACAGATTATACTACAATTCAAGGGTATGAATATGTTCTTTTATTCACTTATTCCTATACTTTTAATTCCTATACTTTTCAATATTCACATATAATAAATGCCCTTTCCAGTTTGAATGTCTTATTCGATATGCCAATGTATATAATTTTAGCCAATTGAGCAAATTCTGGTTCTTAAATTTTTACTTACTTTTCAATTGCGCATGAATTTGATTTCACAATGACATGTTTTATGTCAAAATTTTCCCTTGGTGCACCAATTTTGCAATGAAATTTCAAATTAAGTCAGTGTTGATTCATGACTACATATATCGTCAAGAATGGTTTGAAAGTGATTTCGCTTACGAAATGTTGATTCATGACTACATATATGGTCATGACTACATTCTTTATTTTGTGATTTTCACATTTGTTTAATGCTTTAATGTGAGACAATTTAAATGTTCTTATAATGTGTTTTAGAATGTTTTCTGAATGAAAAATGATGGCCGAGCTGCAGTTAATTAATCAATGATTTCTATAATTACAACATAGAATATTTTAATGTTTTCTCATTATTATAATGTAGGTGAACTAATATAATTATTAATAAATAATAATAGAAATATTACAATTTAGATTTCTTTTATAACTAAAATTTAGATTTATATTATCATATTAATAATTAATATGAAAATTAGATACCCAAAGTTACTAAGATTGCTCCCTAATAATCAGTGTTCTTAGACAAGGTGAGCGAACTAAAAGCAATCGCCTCTGGAGGGGGTGGGGTGGAACCTGCAGGAGATGAAGAAGAATATGCAGTGTTCTTAGACAAGGTGAAGCAGACAGTTTTCTGATGCTGCTATGAGCCGCCTTCAACCGCGTTTCTATCCTCATTTAAAACTAATTGATTTTGCATTTAATTTTGTCAGGTTTGTAGTACTTTATTTGTTTTTTATATTCAAAGTAATAGAGGAACTATTAAGGTTTTAAAATTTTCTACTATCTTGTGTTTTGATCAAACATTGAATCTTGCTTTGGGTTGTCTTTCTTTTCTGAAAATCAAACTCAACATAAGAAGTAATTTCCCTACCATTTTTTTACCTTTTCAAACATCTCAGATTTCAGGGGCCAAAGTTAGTTAGGCAGTATATCCCTATGGTTTCGACTACAAATCTAAGAAATTCATTCTGATGAGAAAATACTAATTGCTTTTCCAAATATTTTGTAGCTAAACAAATTCCAATTGGGGTTTGGTTTAACCCTGGAAGGAGCTGCAACAGATAGAAAACATCGATGGTTGGGTGAGTTAAGTTAAGGTATTCTATATTTACTTGAATTATTAACATAAGTTTACATGTTTATATATTTTATACCTGAATATAAACATGTAATTTTTCATAGCTGCTCATTCTGTATATTATATTGGATAGGATGAACACTGAAGCTAGCACAAAAAATTGAAATTCAGTTCCTTTTTTAGTGAAATCTGCTTATGTAGTAATTATGTTATCCCAGATTATTGAAAATATAAACAATAATATAATACTACGTATAAGATTGATGACCTTTTAGATGATAAAAAATCAAAAAATGACATGTTGTCTGTGTTTGTGTGTGTTGAAGTTTTTAATTTTGTACGATAAAGTTAATTCAATGGCGCCAAGTGATTGGGACTCCATAATGCAGTTGATTCAATGGTGTAATGTTCTGATGCATAGGCCAATGGATTCACGTAAATAATTTTGAAATACCTGTCCAAAGAAATACCATTTGTTTATATTTTGGTACTTGGAAACTATTAGCTAAATAAATAATGAATGCTGAGAGACTGAGAATAAATAGTTTGTGAGGACTTTTGCTTGGAGAGTAAGAGTATTTTATTAATCCTTTTTTGTGCTTATCTTAGACTAATTTTATGAGATTCAATGTATGTTACTCCGTATTTGGTTAAGTCTTTCCTGATTTCCTTTCCAGAGCAAGATCTATACACTTAAGATGGAGCATGAGTTGGAAGTAGAACAACCAGTGAAGTCTGGTGTTTTGAGGGCCTTTAATTTTGACAAGAAATCAACCTTGGATGCTGTAAGTATTTAATTTTAGTTTAAACATATGTTTTATTCTATTTTAGTTATTACTATAAAACTTTAATGTAAGCTTTTTATTTTTATTTTTTACTTTAGAAAAATTAAAAAAAGTGCAGGACATTAAATCTCTAAAAGTGTGGTGCATGTTCTGAATCTTCTGATAAAGGGTTTGTTATGCCTTGATCTAGATGGAATAGGCATTTGCCTGAGCCCTGAAGAATCCATCAAAAGTGTTACAAACGTGTAAAAAAGTTATGCAAACAAGCAAATACAGAGTAAATCTACAAAATCTATGTAGGGTTACATGATTTAATAAATTTATTGAACCGGGACAAATTTAAATAGCTGTAATTTTGGCCAAACATGACTTTTTGGGCAGAGAGATTAATTGTTTATGGAGTTTAACTATCCATTTAACTGAGTAAAAAACATTGTTTTAGATTCTAATGATTCTGTTAACACAACAGACCTGATATGGCATCTTGAATTAGTTGTATCTTTGTGTTCACTATCTCTCTGTTTAATTGTTAGAAACTTAGAATGGATTGTTGCTTCTTCATATATGCATAAGGGCATGTCCTACACAAGATGTTACCCTGCTAACTTGAAACTGTGTCTTCAAATGAATAACCCTCTCATGATATTATGGTAGGTTTGCAGGGGGGCATATGGTTATGCTTGTGGCGCCAAGAGATTGAACCGTTGAGACTGCCAATCCTTTTTTCCATCCTGGTGGTGGTTTGGTCTATCATTAATCAATGTTCTATGATCTCTATCTATTATTTATTTCTTTTTGTGTAAAACGGCTTATGTTTTGGTGTCATTCCCTGATTGTAAGGATTTAAGATAGCTCTTGAATTTCTGTCATGAGAGAAACTTTATACATACAAAATGCCGTTTTAGCATGTTTTTTATGTTTATCAATCTCTTGGGCAGGTCAAGCTAACGTAAAATTAGATATTAAAAAAAAAGTGTGGGTGGAGCCCATCAATAGAGATTGAGAATGCCAGTTACACAGTATGTAACTGAAGGATTTGATATGTAACTCTATGTTTGTATAGTTGGAAGGGTTGAGAAGGACAAATTAAGGGAGTGTTTGCAATTACTTCAACTTTAAAAAAGTGATTTTTTAAAGTGATTTTGGGAAAAGTGATTAATAGTAAAAGTTGGTAGTGTTTGAGAAAAAAGTGATTCTGAAAAAGTAAAAGTTGGTAGTGTTTGGTAAAATAAGTACTTTTTGTGTAATAGAAAAAGTGAGAAGCAGTTTAAAGCACCCTTCTACCTGCTTCCAGCTTTTAGATTTTAAGTGATTAATTTAAGCAGAAACTGTCATTTGAAAACACTCTTTTCAACTTTTTTAAGCCAAAAGCTAAAAAGCGCTTTTTTAAAGCAATCCCAAACACTCCTTAAATCAACACCACTTGACTACTTATAACTACTATAAGTATCTATTAAGGGTAGGAAAGTAAGTCTTAACTCTTAAGTCTTAACTTAATTTATCATTCTTTACTAAGCATCCTTTCCCAATTTATCATGAACATATGTAAACTGTAAAGTACACAAATTCCAATATGTAAAGCGTTGAGACTATTCCTGAACGTGATAATATGCTGCTATAAAAATAGATGGATAGATGGATACTCCAGTAGACCAGTAGTATAAGGTATATTTTCTTTTCCTATGAGTTACATAGTAGGTAACAAGTAACAACTTCTACATTCATCAGTTTAGGTTTATTAGGTTTTTCTATCACTTGAGTTTTATGATTTACTTTTTTAATTATTTACTTATCTTTCATTTTGCTCTATTTGTTTAGTTTGGGCTTGGCATCATACATTTCAATTTCACACTTCTCTGTTCTCTCACATTGTCACCCAGAATGATTTCTTCACATTTTCACAAGTCCAATGAATTTACTCACCAATTTTACACATTTTTTTTAGCTGTATTAGAAAATTAGTTTATAATACTCCATTACTCCGTATAGGTTTTTATATCCTCTATAGCGATGGTAAATTGACTAAATTCTTCCCTCTTCATTTCAGCTTTATAATTTCTGATTCTGCTTTCTGTTTATATTTTGACTCCTCCAAATATGATTTGAAATCTCATATACCAGGTCAAAACAACATTGGAGATAGACTTATACTTTTCAAGCGAGTTTAGTGGGTTACTTTTTTATTATATAGTGTTCCTTTTGTCTAACATACAACAACGCATAGTCATAATGAACTAGAGTTAAGGGTAAGAAAATGAAAATGGAGCATGCATGGAAGAGAGAGAATGGATGACATATAATACCCCCATATAGATAAGAGTTTTTCAATTCATAATAATGAACCAAAGTTCAATGTAATCACACACATTGTGTATACTTGTGATATCTTATTTTTCGCACAGACAATTGCATGTAAAGTTTTGAGGGTGACAAGTCAATTAGGCTTAAATTTCATGACGAAAGAAATAAGAAGATATAACAAAAAAACATTGCCTACGCGGAGGTTTGCAATAACTAATTTGTAGTATATGTGCATATTAAAGTTTAATACATCGTTCTGTATTATTCAGTATTTGCAATTTTGCATACGATTTCATTCATTCATGTAGTAAATTAAAACATAATTTATTAGTGTGTAGATATTACGCTCTCTGTTCTATAAAACTTTGCCAAAATTGACTTGCATGTAAAATAATAAAGTAAAAATTGTGTGGATGAGATTTATGTAGAAAAGAGAGAAATAACTTTAGTCGTATATTTGTTACTTTAAATGAAAAAGTCAAAAAGAATTGGGACGAAAAAAAGGAAATGTCGCCAGCTTTTATGGGACGAAGGTAGTATCATAATATTTTGTCTCTTATAACTTTGTCATCTTTTCATTTTTTGTTGTCCCAGAAGTTTTATTATTTTTCCTATTAGTTGATTAATTCATGTTTTCTATTATTTTCTCTATTCTCACAAATTCAATCACGCTATTTTTACTTTATTATTCTCCGTAATGGTCAAACTTAGCAATTTTTTGAGCGACACCAGTAGTGGGAAATCATGAATTATCTGGTTTGTGCAGAAGAGAGAGAATTATCTGGAACCACGAATTCTTTACTTAAAAGGGAAAATGACAAAGTTAGTGGGACATCCAAAAAAGGAAAGTTGGTAATGTTTTAAGGGACGGAGGGAGTATTTTCATATTGCATCCCGTGCAATGCACGGGTGTAAGATCAGATAGGATTAGATAAGAACATAAAATTTCAGTCCAAGTAAAAACATTCTCACTTGGTGAACATAAACCACTATTAATCTTTTATTTTCGTTTTTTATATTCAAGCTATTTATCCTGATTTCTTAACCCAACATGATCCGATTAATTATCTTTATTCCAGACCTATTCTTGCTTCAACCATAGACGAGGTTGATAAGGTCAACAATTACATGTTCAGCCAGATAGATTCAGAGTTAAAGACATACCTAAGCTCAGATTCTGCTTCTTCATCTGACTCAGATAGTAATGATATCTTGCATGAGATACATTCTCCTAAATTTCTTAATAGCATCAAGTGTTCTGGCTTGCCAAGTCATGAGCTGAAGCTTAAAATTGGAGTTCCTGTGATGCTTATGAGGAATATAGATCACTTATCTAGATTGTGCAATGGCACACGGCTTCTGGACACTAAACTTGGAACTCATATTATTGAGGCTCATATGATGCACGGAGAAAATGCCGGCGAAAAGTTTTTTATTCCCTGCCTTACTTTGACACCATCGGGCATTAGTCTCCCATTCACTTTTCAGCGTAGACAATTTCTGTTAATGGTTAGCTATGCAATGATCATTAATAAGAGCCAGAGACAGTCATTGGAAAAGGTTGCCATCTTCCTCAGTCGGTCTGTTTTTACGCATGGACAGTTGTACGTGGCGGTCTCGAGAGTAACAAGTCCGTCTGGGTTAAAGTTTGTTATATGTGACAAGAAGGGAAACCAACAAAGTGAATGTTTAATGTAGTATACAAAGAAGTTTATACCAATTTTGTAGTTCCCTTGCTTTACATGCATACATCCATACTCATTGAATTGCTATGTATATCGCATCATGATTTGTACTTGACTTTGAGAATTATATTTTAATTTTGTATTAAATATGAATACTTATTTTATTTTATGCTTTATTTTGATTATTTTGGTGGGTTAAAAGGCTATATAGCTTAAATAAATATGATAAGAGAAATTAATAACCTATATTATGCTTTTTAAGTGCATAGCACTTTTGTGGGTAAAGTGAAGCAACATGATTATAGTTCACTTATATGCAACCGTCTGTTATCTACTTAATTAAGTTAGTTAGGCTATTTATTTAATTTATACAAATATATGACATAAACTTAACTGCACATATTTAAAGTTGTATATACACCTAAATATTCCTATTTTGTTTTAGTTTGTAATTTAATATTTTGAGTTAGGTTATTTGACTATGAAATTGTTTGAGTTAATGTATGATTGATCCAAACATCTTCACTCCCGTGCGCAGCACGGGTGGAATTACTAGTTTTGTTAAAAGAACTCTTCAAATATTTGTATAAATAAATAAATAAATAAGTATACGATGATTAGAAATTTAACGAAGAAATTTCGGTAGAGATTTATTTGTATACTGTTATCTGTAAAACGTCCCTAAATGTAAGATATGTTAAACTCAATATTTTTTATTGTAAACAAACTAAAGAAAATAAAGAGAAATGTTTCCTAAATGCCTTACTCTTGATCCGGCACTCTGACGAGAATACTCCTGATATGTCTGTTTAGTGTACTACGTACACTCCTGAAATTCTGTCTTAGAGAAATTAGTGTTCTCCTGTTTAGTGTACTATGTACACTCCTGAAATCTTTTTAGAGCACTATTACTCTTCTGTTAAGGTTCGAGTCTCTTCGGTGATCTCGTCCTTTCTGTTCAGCTAGCTTCTGTTAGGGATTGGTACGTGTAGCTTCGGCGATTACGTTTCCATATCCTTTCTGGGTAATGTGGGTATGGACTTTATGTCTGTATTCCTTACCGTTAGTATTCCTCTGTCAAGGTTCAGTTTCTTGAGTACAAGGCTTAAATGAATTTATTAAAAATATACCTCCGAATAAGAATTATTTGATAATTATGATATCTGAATATGTTTCTGATCTATATATGAATATTTTGATTCTCATAACAGTTATTCGGCTCACTCAGGTATGTCATATGTTTGTTTGACTAGAAGCTAATTATGTTATGTTGCCATTGGATTTAAATATGTGATTATGATTATTATGATTATTATTATTATTATTATGGAAAGGCATTTTTATTAGGATAAGAAAAGGATGAAGATTACAAATAACAAGTAGGGAGCCTAGCAACAATTTGAGCTCCAACACCTTTTTGTATGGCTAATTCTATCCTAATAAAAAGAAAATTGCCAACTCTTAACGTAGAGTCATGTCTAGCAATATGACTCTTAACACGCTTATTATTATTATTATTATTATTATTATTATTATTATTATTATTATTATTATTATTATTATTATTATTATTATTATTATTATTATTATCATTATTGTTATGATTATTGTTATCAGTATTTGTACCGTACCACTCAGCACATTGCTGAGCGGGTAGTTGTTTGTTTTTTTCCTACCCGTAGGTTGAAGTACATTCAGCTAAGATAAGGATGCTGGGATGGAAGGAGGCATAGGATTCATGTGCATATCATGTGTGTACTGTTTATAAATAAACAAATAAGAAGCAAGTTTGACTTTAAACTTATCTTATCATTTTCGTTTTGTAAACGCTTCCGCATATCATAAAAATATTTTGTGCTGTATAATATTAAGTGAATTATGACGACTTGATATTTCAGGTATCGAAAAATAAG